AAGAGAGAGATAGAAAGGGAGAGGGATGGAGAGGGAGAGGGAGCAGGAGAGAGTGAGGCACTGCGTGTAACTAATACAAACTGTGTGCTTGGAGGATTCCACTAATCATTTTGACCTATTTTGTTTTGTTTTCTGTAGGTATTGTAACTGCCAGAGGAAAATCTCTAAGTTTCATGGCTTTATATTCCACCTATTTTATATCTCTAGCCCTGATCTCTCCCTCAAAGTACTGAAATGAACATACGACTTTATTCCCAATAGATATGTCAAACGAACATGGCCAAGACTGAGTGCTACTCTCCAGCATTGCCTGCTCCATCTCTCTTCTTTACCTCGGTAAATGGCACTATCATTTTTCCAAGTTGTTAAGGTTGGAATTATCCTTGACTCCGCTCTTTCTCTCACAATCCTTATCCAATCTATCAATGAGTTTCATCAGCTAAATTATATTCTGAACTCAATTATTTCTCATTACTTTCACCTCTATCATTCTAATCCAAGACAAAACACCATCACCTTTTGCCATATAAACTACAATAGCCACAATCTTTGTATCCCACTCCCCCATACTTTATACTGAACACAGCAATTAGAATTTAAATAAGATTGTGTTATTTTCCTACTCAAAGCTTTTCCACAACAGTTTTCCATCACACTTAACATCCAAAGTCTTTACTATGGCCTACAATGCCTTTTAATAAAATTTGTAACCCACAGATTTTGCCTCTATAAAGGATCCATCTTATTGAAGCACATCCCTAATTATTTACCATGGTCCTAACCCAGCATGCCTGTATTAGAGATGTCCAACCTTTTGGCATCTTTGAACTTAAATATTAGAAGAAGAGTTCTCTCAGACCACACATTAAATACATTGTGACACGTAATCACAAAAAAAATCTCATAATGTTTTAAGTAAATTTACGATTTTGTGTTGGGCCACATTCACAGTCATCTTGGGCTGCATGTGGCCCACGGGCCTGGGTTGGACACCCTTACAGCTGATTATTTAAAAAAAAAACCAAAAACGAAAAACCTGTAGAACGCAGCACTTAGCAGGAGGGAGCAGGGCAGGTATTTTTGGTTGAGGGGACCTGTCCAATACTTCATCACATTACACAAGCAAGTTGCCAATTCTGCCAATTCTGACCACAAGATCCTGGAAGGTGGTGCCTGAGACAGTCCCTAGAAGGTGATATGATGAAAAAGCTTGGTCCAGACAATTGGTGTGGAGGGAATCACATGGTTATTTTGGGGCTGGTGTAAATTTTTAAAAATTTGTTATTGTTTATATAAATTTTCTTCCACGTGCATTAATTATGCATATCTGCGCATCTTGATTATTAAACACTGGGACTTTGTAAATATGCATTCCACTCTGACATAACATCACTTCTGATTTTCAAAACATTACCATTCCAGCACCATGATATAAACACAACTATTCTCACACACACATGATTTCCAAAGCTGCAGATTAAGTGCTAAACTGTCATCAGACTGAAAAGAGAAAAATTCACTTTATGTTGTAATCAGCCTGCCTGCCGCAAATCCCTCCTGAGAAGGAGATTATGCAATTAGTAGGAACAGAAATGCTGGGCGGTCTCTGAAGTAAGCTCTCTGAAGTAAATGTGGGCTGGTCACAAATTTTTGGAGGTCATCAGAGGATGTGATCTCTGGTTGACCCCCTCTCCCAGGGACCCAGGCAGTCAGAGGCTCCTCCCCCCTCTGTCCTTGGAATGTACTTCTGCCCACCGATCCCACAGAAGTACAAGGACACAGCCTTGAGAGAGTAAGGTATGGTTGAGACCAACTGGACGGTATGTATGTGTGACCAAAACCCAGTTAAGGAACTCATATATACACTTTAAGATTCTGGCAGGCGAGTGTGCAGACCTACTCATTTTGTAGCCACCTATGTAAGTTTGCTTGCTCACTAAACCCGCTACCTACCAGCGTAGAGTGAGTGGTCTGCCTCTTTCTTAGGCCTCTCTTTGCCTTTTGTGTAGCCACGTTTGCCTTCCGCGAATCAATGCATTTTTGTTCAAAAGCGGATTTCTGGGTCCCATCACTAGAAATTTCAATTTAACAGGTCTGAAATGGGGTTCAAGAATCTTTATTACTGTTTTAATAAATACCCTAGACGATATAGACATTGTGGCCTTCAAGCCACCCTTTGAGAAAGACCCTTTTCTAAAATGTATAACCAGGAAATTTATTTTCTTTCAGGATTTAGTGGGCGGCAACATTGATCTTTTGCTATTAGGCTGTCTTACAGACATGTACATATATTTTCTATCTATTTACCTATCTAAATTAGAAATAATTTTACACCATCACTTCTAATTGCAAGCAACATCACTGGTTTTATTCTAATTTTTCCCCTTTCTATAGCTGTAATTCTCTTCTCCAACTATGTGAAAGCTGCCTCCCAATATCTTTAATATAATTACTTGTTTGCTAAGTTTCCTAGTATGTAAATCAATTTGTTGGCCATGGCAACAAAAAGTGTGGCTTCTCTTTGTTAAGTTATGTTTATCATTAGATATAACATATAAAAATATAATTATGAAAATTATATATAAAAATATATACATGTGTATGTGTGTATTACATACACATATGTATATATGTATAAAATATTTTATGATATCAAAAATTAAATGAAATGCTTTCCATATATGTATAAGAAAGTATGTAATGTATATTAGAAATACCATAAAATACATAAAATATATCAATATAAGTAAATATATATATCTATATATCTGACTTGATATCTTTTTCCCCAGTTCTGTTACAATATTTTTGACATATAACATCAAGTTTAAGGTATACTATGTGATGATTTGACAGACATATACAAGGCGGGGGACCCAAAAACCCCCAGAATTTATTAAAAAATGTGTATTTATTCTTATATGTTTAAACTTCCGTCAAACTCTCTATTTGATGCAATACACCTATTGAGTTGTTTAGATGTTTTTCCCACTGCTCAAAACAGTTTTTGAACTCATTGATTTTGATGCCTTTTAGTGCTTCTGCCATTTTTTGTTTCACCTTTTCCACATTGGCAAAATATTTCCCTTTGAGGATTTCATCCGGGGAAACAAAAGCCACTCCAGGGCAAAATTGAGTGAATAGGGAGGGAGGGGCATGGGGGGTCACACTGGTTTTGTCCTGCTCAATACTCAGCATGGTGTGGGGAGCTGTCCTCATAAATGACCTGTCATGAAATGGACAAACAGTTGGAAGTGTCTTCAAAAAAATTAGCTGAAGCTGAAAGCAGCCTCTCACAGCAATGCCAGCTGATGCACTGATGCAGATAGGTACCTAGAACACTCACCTTCCAGGGGAATCCTGTATTGCAAGGGGCCTGCCCTCCTGAAGATATTCTGGGTTTTTGGGGTCTCCCCTCATATACTGCAAAAACCATTACTACTATAAGGTTAGTTAAGAATACTTCATCCCCTCACGTAATTACCATTTGTGTGCGTGTGGTTAACATTTAAGATTTACTTTTCATCCATTTCTAGTGCTTAGCAGAGGGTCTAACATAGGGCAGATATTACTGTCTATTACTGTCTATTGGGTGAAAGAACTAATACACTAATTCATCAATAGAATGGAGGGAAGAGAGATGTATGTAGGAAAGGAGACCTTAAATTTCAACCTCTGGACCCACATGGGTGAAAACAGTCCAAGTCTTCCATCCTTAGAAGCCTTTAGGTATTTTATTACAAGAGCCCCCGCTCCCAATATAATTCAAGAATAAATCTTTAATTTATTGTTGACAGTGATAACATTGATATTGCACACCAATCCTGTGTTTACCAGTTGGCACCACCAATCTTATTTTAACTTTCCGGGTCTTAAATATCAAATTTCAAAGTTCCCACATTAAAGAATGTCATCAATTCAAGTTACCCTTTATTTTCTGTCTTCAACTTTTCTCAAGAATATCTGCAGAGCTCATTTTTCTCTAAAGTTCTTTTATAGTGTTTCAAATAAATAATCACAAAACGCTCGAAGTACGGAGTGTGTAGTGAATGTTGAATCAATAAAAATGATGAGGTTAGTAACAATATCCCTGACGACTGCGGTGGCCCGTTTTAATTTAGAGGGCGCCAGCTACACACGTCAGAGAGATTCAAAGACGATCGTGTAAACCACTCTGAACCAGGAATCCCTAAGACAAACCTGACGCCAATGAAGTTTCCAGACGCACCCGGTTCTTGGAATTGACGGAAGGAGCTTCTGTATCGCTGAGCCAATCTGCCAGTTTTCTTGGCGGCAGCTAAAGCGTCAGGAATTTCTAGGTGTTCTGTTCCTACCGACAGATCGCCGTCTGCACCTTCCGCGGCGCTGGGAACAGGTGAGCCGGGAGTTGGTGCGGCCTAGCGGAGGGGCTCAGGTGCTTCGGCCCCGCCCCGCCCCGCCCCTCCCCGCCCGAGACGCTCGGTCCCCGTGCAGGTGCCGGCGCCTAGGTGCGCGCGGCACGGGCTGCAGCTCCACTCCACACCCGACAGCGGGCGCCGCTGCAGCGGCTCCGAGCGGCCGAGCTGAGCCGCTTCGCGAGTTGGGGCAGCTCCGGAGCTCGGCCCTACCCGGCGGCGAGAGCTCCGCCCGGGCGCCGGCTTCCCACAGCTGCGGGAGCGGGCGGGCGCTGAGGGGGCAGACCGCCTTCCGCGGACCCCGCCAGTTTGGGGCGGGGAGTGGCGGGCGAAGGGCGAGCGCCGGGGAGGGCGGAGAGCGGGGCCGGCCACGAGCGCTCCGGAGACAGCCGAGCGTCCCGCGCCCCGGCACCATGCGACCCGCCGCGCCTCCTCGCCGGCCCGGGGCTACGCTCTCCGCCCGCTGAGCCCCCGCGCTCGCCGCCCCGGAAACTCGCAAAAAACGAGGCGAGGCGTTGGAGAGCCGCGAAGAGACTGACCCAGACGTCCCCTCCGCCCCTAAAGAGGCTGCGGATCCCCGTTTTCTGGGCTTCTTTAGCTTTACCATGAACCTGGTGCAAGCTTGGCTTTAGGACAAATTCGGAAACCGGAGGGGGGAGTCAAGGCAATTCTTTGGTTGCTAAGGTAATTGTAGTTGTGACAACAATGGGCAAGACACTAGTGGGGGAAAAGGTGCTTTAAAACGGCATGCCCCCCACCCCACCCCCCAGTTCCTCTGTGTTGATGTCATTTCGTCGCCCGGCTGTAGGTGCTGGGCTGTTTCGGATGCGTGACAGGTGTCGGGCGTGCGTGTGTGCAGTTGGGACTGTAGAGGCACGAGCTTACGTAAGCGGCACGGCGAGCTGGCGTGCGGACTCGTGTGGGATGGGTGCAGGTCTGCGCGGCAACCGCGTCCCCGGGCTCCGAGGGGTGAGCACTCACCGGCTGGGGCCAGCGTGCGGCCGGGGCGTGCTTTTCGAGACTTCGTCTGCCCGTGATTTGGGGATCGCAGGTAGGGCAGTTGTACTTCCAAAGCAGACTGTAATTAACTTTTCCTCCGAATCGGCTCGCCCGTTTGTGCTTTGGAGGAAGAGAAAGCGAGGCGCACGGGTGGGTGTCCAGGTCTGGTTTGGGGGAACTGCCGCAGGAAAGGGAGCCGAGGTATTCCTCCCGAGAGGATGACCACTGAGCTGGTTGACCGCCTTTACAGTCCCTGCGAGGCTGCGGAGAAAGGGGCCCAGAGAGATAGGGAAAGTGACCCAGAAAATTTAATTTTGCTCAGAATGCAAGCTGCTGTGTTTTTGAAAAAATATGATGGAGTAGGGAAGAATATTATTTCTTTCTCTCTCGTTGAGAGGTGTGGCATTTCCATGTTACAAAATGAAGATATTTTGGATCTTATCATTGGATTGGAATTGTTCCCTCGGCATTGACTAGTGCTTAGGAACTGGATCTGCAGGTAATTTCTAATCAATATCTTTTAGCAGCCCCGAAGTAAAATTGCCAAATAAGCAGTAGTAGGTAAAGCCTAACATTGGGACTGTTTCCTTACTAGAGGGGGATGACAAGGGGAAGAATAAGAAGTGGGCTTGTAAGTGTCCACATGAGGTGAGAAACTGAGCTACAAGTGTGTGTGTTCTGTCAAAAAGTGGTAGACAAAAGGTAACTGTTAGGTTTAGCTTAATATGTTAAATAAGGCTTTTATAGATTAATTTTCATAGGCAGTTAGGTATTTATTTGAAGCAGGCACTGGGGAGTTGGTGAGGAACTTTGTGTGTGTTCTATGTTCTTTATGTTATTTATTCTTATTCTTATTAGTTTATTAATTTTGCAATGGATGGGACTATGCCGTGGAACAAAGTTAAGTTGAGGACTGAGGGGAATTTAACATTCTTTGGAGATACACCCTTGTAAGCAAAAGCTGGCGTGCTGAACAGAGAAAACCTAGAGGATAGATTTCTTTCCTAGTTCTCTGATATTATTGTCAAGCTAAATCGTTGTGTACATATGTAAACATTGTGGTATACATATATATTCCTGCCCTCCAATAACTTGTCCTTTCTTGAAAGTGTCTGTAAATTCTAGAAATGTCAGCTACTGTGAGGTATTTTGATGATGTAGGTAGCCACTGGTGTTTCCTTTTTCATATTCATTACATTGGTTCTTCACTTTTCTGTCTCCTTTAAGAAACTTAAATTAACATTCACTGATATATTCCTGAGAGTTTTAGTAAAACAATGCTAGCTTTCCTCAAGCAGCAAATTTTTCTTATCAAGTGAAACATTACAATAGTGCTTTTATGGCAGAAATGTCTCTTTAAATGAGACAGTTATTTATTTATAAATGATTTGTGGAATAAGATAGCCAACATAGATACTTTTTAAATGAACAAACATTTCTTGTGAAAGAAAAGACATTTTTTAAAATTCAAGTACAGTTGACATACAATTTTATACTAGTTTCAGGTGTCCAACATCATGATTCGACATTTGTACATACCGTGCTATGATCAAAAAGCATAATTACCCACTGAAAGGATGTTTAGGACAATAAAATTTGCCAGTAATTTTGGATGTCTGCTTGTCCACAGGGACAGAATTTTATGTGAAAGTAGGATGATTCTGTTTCTTATTTCTCTGATATTCTCCCCTGCATTTTATCTCCTGGATGCCTTAGACTTTGCCAGGAACTGCTGAACATTCTGTTTTGTGCCAGGGGTTAAATGTCAGGGAGATATGAGTAAGGAGCTCTGTGTCACATCAACATTTTTCAAAAGAGATGCCCTCTGAGATCTCAGTGCCGGGATTAATTTTCCTTTTGCCTCACAGTTAGCTTGTCTTAATTCATAATGCTTTGAACCTAGGAAAGCATTTAACCTCTTCATTTTTAGTGCCAGCTGGAAGGAATATATTTACCAAATTTCATCTTCATTGTAACATATGGCATGATATAAATAATTACTACACACACACTGTCCTGCTATATGGAGAGAAATAGAATTACGAAATAAACCTTCATGTTCAGTTATATGGATGTAACATGTCAAAGAAACAGTTTTACTTTTTTTTTTTAATTACCAAAGAAATATATAAGCATTGGGAAATGGTCAGGAAACTACAAAGAAAAAAAAGATTACTTGTAATTCTCCCACAGATGGTGAACCACTGTTGACATTTTTGCATACTATATATTCTTCCAGACTTTATTGTGATCACATTATTCATTGGATTTTTACCCCCACCCCTGAGCTCATCCCCAAAGTTCAGATGTCAGTGGAATTTGGATATGTGTTAAAGGTTTGGAAGATTACTGCTAGTTTTCTGAATGGTTTTGATAGATAAGATTTTAATTTTTGTTACTGGTCCTTATTTTCAGAGAGTAGTTTCTCTGTTTATCTGTTTTCTTTGAAAAGCAAGATTGGCACTCTGAGTCAGTAATGCTTGGGGTTCCCCATAAGATTCAGGGATGAAAGCATCAAAAAGGAAATAGAACATTGGCAATTCTGGGCAGGAGACCCTAGTTTTGATTTCAACCCCTTCACCAACTCCCCATGTGGCCTTTGGCCTCTGGGTCTCTGCTTCCTCAAAGAACAAATGACAGTTTCAGATTTAGCTCAATAAGCTAACAGGATATTTGTTGTTTTGATGTTTGATGAGGGTAATTTTTGTTTGAAGTGGACTTTTTTAAACACAGATGACTGGGGGCAGGGGGGTCCCCCCAGAGCTTCTGCTCAGTTGGTCTGGAGTGGGGCCTGAAAGTGTACATTTCTAACAAGTCCCCAGATGATGTTGACTTTGCTGGTCTGGGGACCGCACAGAGAACTACGGATCAGCTCTTTGGGGGCAGGACACTTTCACTTTTCTTTGCATCCCCCTCCTCCATGCCCAGCAATGTACCTGCCTGCTGGTAGGCCCTCAGTAAGCACTGATTGAGTCAATATCAGTATCTCTATGCGGGGGAAGACTTTCTGAAGTGGTTGAGAGAAGAGAGAGAATCATCTAGAATTTGGAACTATTAAAGTCTGTAACGCAAGTAGTGATCAGTCATAAAATGAAGTTCTTCAAACTGCAAGAAAAGCAAAAATGCTGACAACTAGGTGGTTAAAATAAACATTAAACCTAATGTGTTACACTAAATAACAACTCAGTACATGCTTGAGATGTGACAAACCACAAAGCTTATCAAATACTTCACTGTTGCCTCCCTGAGGTAATTTATTTTCTGCCACATCTATATCCCAGTAAAGGGAGAGGGAGGAAATTCGCTATTAATTACTCTAACTACCAAAGCAGCAGCTAAAGAAAGCAAGAGTCCAGACACCACCCCGTATACCTCCTACACACACACACACACACACACACACACACACACACACACCCACACACACACACACACACACACCCCCCCAAACCAAATTACTCTAACTACCAAAGCAGCAGCTAAAGAAAGCAAGAGTCCAGACACCACCCCCTATACCTCCTACACACACACAACGCCCCCCCCCACCCCGAAAGCAGAGCAATGCTCACCAGACCACCACAACCATTCTATGAGGTTGGTCACTAAGGAAATGAGCAGAGGGCATTGAGGGGGTGCATTTTATAGCTAGGAGAGCCCAGGAAGCTGAAATACCCTTCTCTTGGTCATCCTTGTATGGCTACTTTGTGTTTAGAAAATGAATCCTTCCTTTCTATTTAGGTGTTAGAAACACAGGGTTCAGCCATTTTTATGTATGGCAACCTTTAAAAAATGTATAAATACAGGGCCTAGCACAAATAATGCCTTTTTTATTACATAAAAATCTTTTATTACAAAATCATAAGCATGTAATTCTGTAACATAACAATATCACACTCAAGCACACCATACAATATTTTCGGTGAAATGTTCAAATTGCTGTCCATTTCGTGCCAGGCATTCACATACCCTACCAGCCACACTCAGTGGTGTTACTTCTGCCGGACCCTGCATTTGAATATGAACCAAGTAGCTGCTCAAGTAATGGAGGCTACTCAAATGAGTTGTGGTGGAGACTAGCTGTCTTGGCTTTTCTAAACACTTAGATAAAACCATCAAAGGAAAAGCCACCTTTAAGTTCCCTTATTCACTAGTGTCTGTCCTACCCAAGAGGCTATTTTCTTGCCCAGGGGGAGGTGCACATTAAACAAAGCCTTCTGAGATGAATGTTCTGCGTGAATGGGAGCTAGTGGTAACATCCCCTCGGAAATACTCAAGGTGCCTGTGTCACACTGAGATCTGGCCGGCCCGAAGCTGTGACAGAGAGCTGTGATCAATAGCTCTTCAAGTAGACCAACAGGCCCTTTAAACCCTCTTAATTGTTCTGAACCTCAATTCCCTCATCTGTAAATAGGAATAAAAAATATATCCCTTGAGTGTGTGTGGCTATGAGGAGAAAATAGTACACTGTGCAGTGTACTGGGCAGAGGAGGCATAGTAACTCGAGGAGAAGGACCCTGTCACACTGCACTATTTTCTGGTAATATTAATAATCAGTTGTTGGTTTGCAACCTCAGGAATTCCCTAGGTGAAATCTGAAACCGGCTCCTATACACGCAGGGCAAAGAAAGTGGCAGACCACTCCAGATTTGTAGGCGGCAGGTGTAATAAGGGGACATGCATACGGG